TTTTAGATTTCTTTGCAACATTCTTTGTCCTTAGGACATATTCTACCAAGGACATACAGTCAAATGCTGTCTTAAAGTCACTTGAAATAATTCTATTCACTGTGGTTATTTCATAATTTGATACAGTTAAGTTTGTGCATTTTACTTTGTTATCAGTATGGGGGGATTTTTTTTCTTTTAATTTTTTTGAATACACAAAATAATTGCAAGATTCCAAAATAGAGACTATATAACAAGAGATATGTCTCACCTCCATCCCTGCCCCTCCACCTTGATTCTCCATTCTCCATAGGTAGCCATTTTTGTGAGATCTTGATTTATCCTTCAGATGCTTCCTTTTCTAACTGTGAGCACACACATACATGTACGTTGCCTTCCCTTTCTTACACAAAAGGTAGTATATCACATAAACTCTATATACTTTTTTCCCCACTTATTAATACAGGCATAGCTCATTGTATTGTGCTTTACAAATAGTGCGCTTCACAGATACTGTGTTTTACAAACTGAAGGTTCATGACAACGCTGCCTCGAGCAAGTCCATTGGCAACATTTTTCCAATGGTATGTGCTCACTTTGTGTCTCTGTCACATTTTGGTAATTCATACAGTATTTCAAACTTTTTCATCATTGTTATATCTGTTAGGTTGATCTGTGATCATTGATCTTTTATGTTACTATTGTAATTATTTTGGAAGGCCACGAACCACACCCACATAAGATGGTGAACTTAATCAAAAACATTGTATGTGTTCTGACTACTCCACCGACTGGCTGTTCTCCTGTCTCTCTCCCTCTCCTCAGGCCTCCCTATTCCCTGAGACACGACAGTATTGAAATTAGGCCAATTAATAACCCTACAGTGACCTCTAAGTGCTCAAGTGAGAGGAAGAATCACTCATCTCTCACTTTAAATCAAAAGCTAGAAATGATTACACTTAGTGAGGAAGGCATGTTGAAAGCTGAGATGGGCCGAAAGCTAGACCTCTTGTGCCAAACAGTGAAGTTGTGAATGCAAAGGGAAAGTTCTAGAAGGAAATTAAAAGAAAGCCCTGTTGGTGCACTGGTTAAGAGCTCGGCTGCTAACCAGAAGGTCAGCAGTTCAAATCCACCAGCCAATCCTTGGAAACCCTATGAGGCAATTCTACTCTGTCCTATAGGGTTGCTATGAGTCGGAATTGATGGCAGTGGGTTTTTTTTGGGGGGAGGAAGATACTACTCCAGTGAACATATGAATGATAAGAAAATGAAATGGCCTTAATGCTGATAATGGAGAAAGATTTAGCGGTCTAGATAGAAGATCAAACCATCCACAACTTTGCCTTAAGCCAAAGCCTAATCCAGAACAAGACCCTAACTCTCGTCAGTTCTGTGAAGGCTGAGAGGTGAGAAAGCTGCAGAAGTTTGAAGCTAGCAGAGGCTGGTTCATGAGGCTTAAGGAAAGAAGCCAGGTCCATAACATAAATGTGCAAGGTGAAGCAGCAAGTGCTGATGTAGAAGCTGCAGCAAGTTACCCAGAAGATCTAGCTAAGATAATTGATGAAGGTGGCTATACTAAACAACAGATTTTCAGTGTAGACAAAACAGCCTTATACTGGAAGAAGATGCCATCTAGGCCTTTCCTGGCTAGAGAGGAGAAGTCAGTGCCTGGCTTCAGGGCTTCAAAGGACAGGTTGACTCTCTTGTTGGTGGCTAATGCAGCTGGTGACTTTACGTTGAAGCCAATGCTCATTTACCATTCCAAAAGCCTAGGGCCCTTAAGAATTATGCTAAATCTACTCTGCCTGTGCTCTATAAGTGGAACGTCAAAGCCTGAATGATGGCACATCTGTTTGCAACATGGTTTACTGAATATTTTAAGCCCACTGTTGAGACCTACTGCTCAGAAAAAAAGATTCCTTTCAAAAAATATTACTGCTCATTGACAATGCACCTAGTCACCCAAGAGCTCTGATGGAGGTGAACAAGGAAATTAATGTTGTTTTCATGCCTGCTAACACAACATCCATTCTGCATCCCGTGGATCAAGAAGTAATTTTGACTTTTGAGTCTTTATTTAAGAAATACATTTTATAAGGCTATAGCTGCCATAGATAGTGATTCCTCTGATGGATCTGGGCAAAGTAAATTGAAAACCTTCTGGAAAGGATTAACCATTCTGGATGCCATTAAGAACATTTGTGATTCATAGGAGGAGGTCAGAATACCAACATTAGTTGGAGTTTGGAAGAAGTTGATTCCAAACCTCATGGATGACTTTGAGGGGTTCAAGACTTCGGTGGAGGAAATAACTTCATATGTGGTGGAAATAGCAAGAGAACTGGAATTAGAAGTGGAACCTGAAGATGTGACTGAATTGCTGCAATCTCACGATAAGCTTTAATGGCTGAGGAGTTGCTTCTTATGAATGAGCAAAGAAAGTGGTTTCTTGAGATGAAAGCTACTCCTGATGAAGATGCTGTGAACATTGTTGAAAGGATGACAAAGGATTTAGAGTATTGCATAAGCTTAGCTGATAAATAGCAGCAGAATTTGAAAGGATTGACTCTGATTTTGAAAGTAGTTCTCCTGTGAGTAAAATACTGTCAAACAGCATCGCATGCTACAGAGGAATCTTTCGTGAAAGGAAGAGTCATTCGATGCAGCCAACTTCATTGTCTTATTTTAAGAAATTGCCCCAGTTGCCCCAGCCTTCAGCAACCACCACCCTGATTAGTCAGCAGCCATCAACATAGAGGCAAGACCCTCCACCAGCAAAAAGATTATCACTTGCTGAAGGCTCAAATGATGTTTAGTATTTTTTAGCAATAAAGTATTTTTTAATTAAGGTATGTACATTATTTTTTTAGACATAATGCTATTGCACACTTAATAGACTGCCATATAGTGTAAACATAACTTTTATATGCACTGGGAAACCAAAATATTCGTGTGACTTGCTTTATTGTGATACTCGCTTTATTGCAGTGGTCTGGAACTGAACCCACAATGTCTGCTAGGTATGCCTGTATATCCTGGAAATTATTCCATGTTAGCAATTTCCTCATGTTTTCCAACTGTATGGTATTCCATTGCATTGATGTATCATAGTTAATTCAATAAGTCCCCTATTGGTGGACTTTGGAGTTGTTTTCAAACTTTAGCTATTAAGATAATGTAGAGTGAATAGCCTTGGTCACGTGTCATTTCAGGTGTTTTGCCAGTGTGTCTGAGGTTGATGTATAGAAGTGGGAAGAACAAACACGTGTAATTTTGCTAACGGTTGCCAAATTCCCTTTCACAAGGGTTGTTCCATTTTGCATTCCAACATTCAAGGTATAAGCATGCCTGTTTCCCCACATCCTTGCCACAGAGTATGTTGCCAAACTTTTGGATTTTTGTAATCTGATAGAAAAGAAATGTTATCTTATTGCAGTTTTGATTTGCATTTCTTTTATTATGTGTTAGGTTGAATATCATTTTATATTTTTAAGGACCTGTATCAGAGGTCCCCAAGTCCACCCCCCGGTTTGATTATCTGCTAGGAGGACTTACAGGACTCAGCTCATAGTTATGCTCATGACTATTATTTATTACAGTGCAAGGATTCTAAGTGCAGTCAGCAAAGGCAAAAGGCACATGGGTGAAGTTCAGGGGAAACCAGGTACAAGCTTCCAAGGCCCTTTCCAAGTGGAGTCACTCAGGACACTCTTAATTCCCCCCAGCAATGAGTTGTGACAGGTGTGAAATGTTGCCAACCAGGGAAGTTCATTACAGACTCAGTGCCCAGGGTTTTTACTGGGCTTGGTCACATAGCCTCTGATGGACACATACCAAAATTTTAGACTTCCAGAGAAAAGCAGGTGTTTACTATAAACCATATGGTTTGTACAAACAATTTAGGCCCAGTGAGCCACTCTTACCAGCTAATGGTGGGACACTCCTGAAATAGAAGTTCCCAGCTGCCAGCCAGGGCCATCTTTGTAAGCAGGCTTTTCAAAGGATATCAGTCAGACCTGCTGTGTCAACTCTTCTGCATAGGACCATTTTCATTCCTTCTTGAACTATCCATCCATATGTTTGACCCATTTTTTATTAGGCATGTGGTCTTTTTCTTCTTGATTCACTCTTTTTATATTAGGAATCAGGCCCTGTGTGATAAAAGTTGCAAATATTTTTTCCAATTTGTCTTTTGACTTTAGTATTTGTTGTTCATTTGTGTGTGTGTGTGTGTGTGTTTTAAATTATGCATAGTATTACGTATATCATTAATTTGAATCATAGCTTTTCCCACTCCAAGGTTATGAAGAAACTCTCCTGTCTAGAGATTGTATGTTTTAATTTTTTACGTTTAGATATCTAATTCATTTGGAATTTTTTCTGGCATATGATGTGAAATACAGATCCTACTTTTTTTTTTTTCCAAATGGCTAATCAGTTTGTGCCAACATCGGCTATTTTTAAAAAATCCATCTTTTCCTTATTGATTTAAAGAGTCACCTTTATCAGACGTGCTAAATTTCTATAGGCTTTTGGGTCTATTTCTAAACTTCCTTTTTTGTTTCATTGGTCTGTTTGTCTATTTATGCACCAGTGCTACACTTTTTAATTATCGAGACTTTATAACATGTTGTACTGTTAGGGCTAACCTTCCCCACCACATACTATATTACTCTTATTTTCAGAGTTTTTCTGGTTCTTCCTGCTTACTTGTTTTTCTCAATGATTTTAATAATTAACATATCTAGCACTAGAAAAAAATCTGTTGATATTTTAATTGTGGTTACATTAAATTTATAAATTAAGGTAGTAAGAGTTGACATCTTTATCATGTTGAGTCCTCCTATCCAATAATATGCAGTGTGTCTTTCCATTTGTTAAGTCCACTTTTGTGTCTTTCAGGAGTATGTTCAAGTTTTCCTCATGGGATTTGCACATTTCTTGTTACATTTATGCCTTTTTAAAAACTGTAAATCCTTCCACTCAATTTTGAGAAACAATCCTTAATGCTTACATGATAGATTTGATGTTGAAACCCGGCATGTGTTTATTGGTGACCAGTCAGGCCAAGTTACAATCCTCAAACTGGAGCAAGAAAACTGCACCCTGGTCACAACATTCAGAGGCCATACAGGTAGGACTGAAAGCAAAACCATCATGTGCTGATCTTCCAGTGAGATATTGCCTGCTGCATATTCTGATATTCAGATGATAGGTTTTGAAAGTGGGAAAGTACAGTCTGCTTGTTTAAAGATACACGTGATATACATAACTGACTTTCAGAATAGTTCAGTAGGATATAATGTCAAAAATGTTGCTACATCAATCCAAACAAAAGAGGAGCCAGTCTATTTTGAAAATGTTGGTGATTTGATTCTTTGTCATATTACACCAGAGAAAACCATTGTTGGCATACGTTAATGAGACATTGTTTGAGACTGTGTGGCAACTGCTCAGACCCCAGAGGTTGAAAGGACAGCCGCCTCCATCTGTCCTTGCCGTCCCTAGAGTGAGAAGATGCTGTGCGAGACACACTCCCATTTACAAGACAAAATGAAAAATATATTTATCATGGGTAGCTAGGCTACTTAAAAAGCTGCCAAGTTCCTTTGTAATTTTTCTTCCTTTTGGGTCTTTTTTTTTTTCTGGTTTAAAACCCAGGGTACCCTTTATGTTACCAATCTGTTCAGTGTCATTTAAGTGAGGTAATATAAGATATTCATGCTTAACCTTGATAAAGAACTTGAATAGATGATGATTATTCATCTTTTAGAAGTATTTTTAAGATGTGGTGTTGACTCTAGAAAACGATGACCCTGAAAAATTACTCAGTGCATACTTATTAACAAAGTATATTTTGGAATGGCCTTACATGTCTTCTGAAAACTACCAACCCATGATTTAGTATAAAACAGTGTTATTATTGAGTTTGGATTTGGTGTATGAGCAAAAGTAGTGGATAGAGGATGTAAAATGAGATAGTATCTAGATCATAAGGGATTTTCTAAAGGGGAAAAAAAGGAATGTTGGAATGACAAACATGCAGTAAAGAGAAAATTGAATCCAGGGAAAAAAGATTCATAGTAGATCATCTTAATTATCTATGTCTTTGGGAGGAAGCGCGCATAGAACCATCCCCTGTGGATAGGATCCGGGCCTTTCCTGATTGGATTTCTCCTTTTATCTACCTACACCCTAGCCAACCCGAAGCCTGGTAGGTACCCAGAACTGCCCCACTTCTATGTTCCACTTGCTGATTTTAGTCTAATCTTCTATATTCTCAAATCTTGCCTCTAATTCCACTTGCTCTTTCACCTGGGTTTCCCCCACTGTCTCAGCCCCTAATCTTCTCTTCCTTCCCTGTGGCACCTGGCTCCAGTGGTCTATCACTTGTGCCACATCCTCCCCACATTCTCAGTTCTGCACCCCCTTATTCTTCCTTCTTGGTAGACCTTATCTACGATTCGGACTTACTGTCTAAGTGCACTCAGCTGCTGGGTTGGTAGCAAGTCACACTAATACCGTGATTAACATCGTGAATTCATGACTTCCAACCCAGATGTATGAAGTTGCCTAGTTATCCCTCTCCATAATCCCTCTGCGAGTCCTCGGTACAGCCTCCTCTTCCCTTGCACAGCTTTCTCAGACCTTCACACTCTCTCACACCTCCTTCCCATTGCTCTTCCTTCACAGAAAAATAGAGGCTATCAGATAAAAACTTTTTTTTTTAATGCCCACCCACACTCCCTCCCCAGCAAACAAGCTCTCCCTGTACATCTCACGCCCTCCTGTAGCCAGGGAGCCTGCCTGCCTTTGGCCTCAGGCTACTTCTCCCACGATTTCCACAGGAAAGTTATTTCCTCTTCACTGACCCCCTCCCCTCAATGTATTAACATGCTCAAGTTTCTTGCTACTCTGTTAACAAACAAACAGAGCATCCTCTCAGTCACAGTCCTGTTGTAGCAATTTCCATTTCACTCTTTTAACAGCAGCGCATCTTAAAATTTTCCCAGCTGCGGACCATGATCTCGGGAAACATCTATCTCAGTTGGCATAATGTAGTTTATAAAGAAAATGTTCTACATTCTACCTTGGTGAGTAGTAGCATCTGGGGTCTTAAAAGCCTGTGAGCAGCCATCTAAGATACTCCACTGCCTCACCCCTTTGGGAGCAAGGAAGAATGAAGAAAACAAGTTACAAGGGAAAGATTAGTCCAAGGGATTAATGGACCACAACTACCATGGTTTCCACCAGACTAAGTCCAGTACAACTAGATGGTACCCGGCTACCACCACTGACTGCTCTGTCAGGGATCACAATAGAGGGTCCTGGACAGAGCTGGAGAAAAATGTTAACAAAATTCTAACTCACACACACACAGAAAAAAACAGACTTACTGGCCTGACAGGGACTGGAGAAATGCTGAGAGTATGGCCCCCAGATACCATTTTAGCTCAGTAATGAAGTCACTCCTGAGGTTCACCCTTCAGCCAAAGATTAGACAGGCCCATAAAACAAAACGAGACTAAAGGGGCACAACAGCCCAGGGGCAAGGACTAGAAGGCAGGAGAGAACAGGAAAGCCAGTAATAGGGAACCCAAGGTCGAGAAAGGAGAGTATTGACATGTCATGGGGTTGTTGACCAATGTCATAAAACAATATGTGTACTAATTGATTAATGAGAAACTATTTGTTCTGTAAACCTTCATCAAAAGTACAATAAAAAAAATTTTTTTTAAACAATTAAAAAAAAAATTCTTCACCTTCCATTTGCTTTCCCTGCAGCTTGACTGGTGGTATCTGTCAGTACACATAAACTGCTCTCCCAATGGCCTGCTGGTCATTAAATCCTTGTGTTAATTAACCTTTCAGCAGCATTTTACCTTGTGGCCATTCCTACTTGTTTGTAACTGCCTCCTCTGGCCTCGGTGACACATTCTTCCAGTCTTCGTCCTCCGTCTCAGTCTCTTTCTCAGTCTCCTTTGTGGGTGGTGGCATCCCAGGGCTCTCCCTGGACCTTCTTTTCTTCACTCTGTGCTCTCCCTGGTTGATCTCAGCCACTCCTCTCAGTCACAGAAATAAACGGCTCAGTCATTGTCCTCAAATTCTTCTCAACCCATTTAGAGAGACGGAAGCCAAACAGTGATTACAGTGCATGGTGGCAAGGGCAGGGATGGAAGCATGCGCCATGCTTAACGGAGGTGGGAGGGGGTCAGAGAAGGCCACCCCAGGGGAGACACCGCTTCAGCTAAGGTCTTCAGGGATGAATAAATGTTGAGTTCATGAAAAAGAGATGAGAAGAGTAATTCGAGCAGAGAACACCCACATGGTCTAAGGCATGGGGATTTGCGAGAGCACGGCCCTCTTGGGAAACAGCTGGTATATACCTCTGTCTGGCTGGGTCATTGGGTATGAGGCAGGGAGGCAGCCAGACAGGAAGCAAGAGTCAGTGCAGATCACTGAGGATTTTCTCTGGTATTGTGCTGCAGTCAGTGAGAAACCATTAAAGAGTTTCAAGCAGAGAAATTAATATAATCGGATTTTAAAAGATTGTTGTAGCAGTAGAGTGTAATTGGAAAGTGAGGAAACCGTGTCCTTTGAAATGTGACAGTGGTGATGGGAAAATGAGGGGTGGATGGACCCAGGCATTTAGGAAGTAAGCTCAGCAGCCTGGTGAGGGAGTGGGTGGCTTGCAGATTTGGTTTAGGCAGAGGTGGGTTTTGGCCTGATGTTATGACTCTTTAATAGTGAGACCTTCACCATATGGTGGCTGATCGGTAGGGAGTCCTCTAAGTTCTGTATTGTTACCTCCAGGTCAGAAGAGGGGGAAAGGAGCTGCTTCTAACTACTGTGTTGTGAGCCAGATGTGGCCCCAGGGTCTCACATTTTCAGGCTTGTTCTAATATTAAATGTTACTTTGTTATTGTGTCTTACCTTTCTCAAAAGAGTTGAAAGCATTTTCATTTGACTTTATCATGAAATATCTGAGGAAGACAGGACAGCCAGGGCCCAGGAGGGTCACTAACTAATGTGAAGGCAAGCTTAGCAGGTCAGGTATTTAACTTGTTATTCTTCCTAGAGGGTGGTATCTGTCTGTTCCTAATGTGGCTACAGCACAGCTAACTGATTTGAAGCTAGAGCAAGGACATCTAAGAGAGTGCATGGGGATTCAAAAATAGCTTCCACTTCTTCCTAAGTGGAAGCCCATTCTGGGCACTGGGATAGCCCAAACTCATCCAGACACAATTTTGGGATTTGGGGTTTTTTGTAAGGATTAATTTAACTTCCCTTCCCTGTTCCCCAGCAAAGACCTTAAAGTAAACTCAGATCCTTTAAAGTGTGAACTTGGAGTTCCGTCACTCCAGATCCATACTGGAAGCAGACAAGTGTTTGATATGTGTACAGAGTCACTCCATTTGCTACTCTCTGACAGAGGAGAGAAGGTCACATAAGAAATATGGGTTTAGTGATGGTATCGGCCTCACATTCCTACCCAGAGGTGAAAACAGAACATTGACTAGTCCATAGGGATTTAGGAAACTGTTTTTATGTTCTTATAACTCCCTCTGCTGGTTTTATTTCTGGAGCTAAATGCCAAGTGTCATGGTTCTTTGCTGTTTCTACAGAAATTAGAATGCATTCCTACCGAAAAGGCATATACTGACTTGAACAGAAGAGGGGGAAAAAAATCAGATTTTGACCACTAGAAATAAATTACTATTAATTTCAATAAAATATTTTTTCTCTCCTAAGAAATTTTTTATTAGAATGAACATATTGGAAATAGGAGGACCTGAACATAAACATGCCAAAGCATACTAATTAAATGAAAAATTAAATACAGACATGTTCATCAACTGTCAGGAGAATTATTGAAAGGAACAGTATAACTAAACAAAATAATGAAATGAGGAAAGGCATAGTTCAATGCAAATACACAATAATTAAATTGAAAATGTTCATTTTTGTTTACAATGGAGGCTTCAACGGAGACCCCTGTTTCTATAAAGCATGAGTGAACAGATGCAGATTTTCATCAAGAGTCAGTCAAGTCCTCAGCTCTGTATGTGATGGGTGCTGAGAGACACAGGTGAATAAAACAAGCCTAATCTCTGCCCTTATTAAACTTCCAGTCCAACATGGAATACAAGCATTAAACCAGTCATTACAAAAAGTTAATCAGAATATTGTGAGTGTACCAAGTGCTGTGAACCATGATGCAGGGCACAGTCTGCTGTGGGGACAAGTAACAAGAGGGCCTCTCCTTGTCCAGAGAGGTAAAGGGAGGCTTCCTAAGGAAGTCCCTGGTGGTGCAAATGGTTAATGCACTTGGCTGCTAGCCAAAAGGTTGGCCGCTGGAGTCCACCCAGAAGTGCTTCTGAAGAAAGGCCTGGCATCTCTTTCTGAAAAATCAGCCATTGAAAACCCTTTGGAGCACAGTTTTACTCTGACACCCATCGCATTGCCATGCGTCATCATCAACTCAGCAGCAGCTGGTTTTTCCAAAGGAAGTGATGTTTAAATGATATCTTAAGAAGAAACAGGAGTTACGCAGATTGTAGGAGCGTTCCAGGCCAATGGCAGCAGGTATGAAACCTGGAATGGGGAAGTGTGAGCAACTAAGTGAAGTCAAATGGCCCATGTGGAGAGCTGGTGAGGAGGGTACAGGTTGACCTTACAGGCAACGTTAAGAACTTGAGACATTATGCTCAGGCAGTGGGAGGCCAGTGAAGAAGTTTAAGTGGAGTCGTGGTTTGCATGTTACAAATCACTGTGGCAGCAGTGGGTAGGATTAGTGGGGACAAGAATGAGTGTGGGACACCTTTTAGGAGGCTACAGCTGGATACCCTGGAAAAGGTGACACTTGTTTGGACGGGGTAGCAGCAGTGAGTGTGGAGAGGAGGAATTTAAGATATATTTAGAAGCTAGGAGTCAGCTGCACTTAGCAATTGATGGGAGTAGCGTGACTCCCAGGTGTCTTACGCATTTGGGGTTTATTCTGAATGGGATAGAAGCCATATGAGAGATTTGAGCAAAGGGTGTCCTCATCTGCTTTGCATTTTTCAATGACCACTTTGTTGGACAATAGGAACAGCAGAGGAAGCAGGGGAACCTGGTAGGAGGAGATTATAATAATTTTAGGCTTCTTTCTTGTTTTTTTTTACTTTTCATATTGAAATACTTCAGATTTTTTTTAAAAATTTCAAAAACAGTGGAGTCTTTTATGCTGTTTACCTAGATTCCACAAATGTTAACGTCTTTCAAAACTAGAGTACAAATAGCACAACCAGGAAATTAACATGGACACAGCACTGTAATCTGTAGACGTTATTCACGTTTCTCCAGTTATCTCACTTCTGTCATTTTTCTGGTTCAGACTCCAACCCGGGATCACACATTACATTTGGGTGTCATGTCTTCTCAGTTTCCTTAATCTGGAACAGTTCTGCAGTGTTTCATGACCATGATGTTTTGAGTACTAGCCAGAACATCCCTCCTTTGTAGACTGTCCCTCCATTTGAGTTTGTTTCTTTCCTCATGGTTAAATTCAGGTTATGCATCTTTGGTAAGAATCCCACAAAAGCGATGTTATGTTATGCTCTCCTCAGTGCATCATATCACAAGGTACACATAGTGATTTGTCTCGTTACTGATGATGTTAACTTTGGTCACTTGGTTAAAGTGGTGTCCTCCAGGTTTCTCTACTTTAATGACCCTTTCTCGTAAAGTATTTTATGGGAAATACTTTAAAACTATGAAAATATCCTGTATCTCATTTATGCCTAATAATTTTAGCATCCGTGATGATTCTTACCAGAAACAATTAAGACTTATGTTTGCCGAATTGTGATTTTCTATTATCGTTATCCCTGCTACATTTGTTGACTGGAATTCTGCTATAAGGAAAAACTTTTACTTCTCCCCCATTTGTTTATTCAGTCGTTTGTACAGTACGGACCTGTGGGTTCTTATTTATTTCTATGCGTGAGACTTCATTACTATCATTATTTTGTTGCTGAAATTGTCTTAGATTTGATCACTGAGAGCCCTTCATAGTTTTCCCCAGGGTTCTCTCCAGTTCTGTTTAAATATTAGGCATCAATATTAACAGTCCAAATAGTAACTTCTTTTTTCTTGTGTGATGTTTATGAAGCTCTTGGTGAGTCTCACCTTCCTCTTGGAGCAGTCTCATTATAATATTCCAGTAAACCTCTGGTGTTATAATAATTAAGGTAGTGCTAACTGCTCTAACAAATAATCCCCAACATCTCAGTGACTTAATGCACCAAACGTTTATTTCTCACTCACAGAACAGTCCAGTGCAGGCGGTTTTGATTTACACCTTTTTTTCTTCCATGTAGTGGTGATTCAGGAACCCAGAATGTGGGTTCTCATTCCCAGGGGTCTTGGAGTCCTCCAGGAGGAAGTATAAAGAGAAAGTGGAAAAGGGACGTCTACTTTTTACCAGCCTTTGGTCGGGAGGAATGCATATCACTTCCACTTCCGTTCTCTGTTCTGTTGCTTCTTGAGAACTGGTCACATGCTCCCTTCCATATGAGAGGGGTTGTAATTGTGGTCCCTGCAGGGCAGCAGCTTCCCAGCGGGTGCTCTGTGTATTAAGGGGGGAGTATGAACTCAGGTGGGCAATTAGCTAACTCTGCCACAGGTATTTAACAAAGTTAGCCCTTTGGTACTGTGTGAGAATAAGTAACATGTTTTGCAGCAGTGTGAGAATAAGTAACATGTTTTGCAGCATGGAACACAAGTCCTGAAGTACTGCACTCTGAAATACCTGAAGGTATTTGAGGAACACTATAATATTGGAGTTTAGTAGCAGGGAGAGAAGGTGAGTTGTACAGAAGGAGAAGATATTTGGCTTCAGAGGGCTGAGTATGCATAGCAGAGGAATTCCAAATAACAAAATTTATGGGAAAAAAACAATATTTTTGTATTTTCACTCCGCTTTTGAGTCATTCATTCAACAGACAGTATTGTCTGTGCACCAGGCACCGTGCTTGTCTGCTGCTTGGTAGGTGGTGGGGAGGGGTCAGGGAAGAGGAGGTGGGAGCTGCGGGGGTGGTTAGCCATGTATGCATTGGGGGAAATGGTGTTCATTCCGACATGTACAGGAACATATACAAGTGGAATGCTGTGGGAGTATAGGAAGAAGCTATTAAGCATAATCCAGAACAGTGGGTTTTTTTCCTTGTGATCTTAAAAAGGAAATCTTCTGAAACAATTCTGTGCGGGAAACTCCTAGAATGCTTTTAAAGTATAGTACTTCGTTAGAACAAATTGATAATCCGGATTAAAAAATGTCAGATTCCAACAAATAAGAGGCTATTTTATGTTCTTTGCAGAATACTGTAGTTTTCAGTAATATAAAAAATGAGTATTTCTGACATTCTTAGGTATTTGTAGACTTTGCGATGATATTACATGGGAAAAGTTATTACTGTTATCAGTACACAAGGGCTTTCATTTATAAGGGGACTGCCACAGAAGAAAATCTGTCATAATATTTTATAGCCATATCACAAGAGTAACACTAATAGCCAGCATCTACACTGCATGCTGCAGTTTACAGATGGTCCTGTGTATTTGACCTCATCTGCTCACCACAGTTCTGTGACGTAGGTGATGGCTAGCTAGTTTATATTATTACTAGTAATAGTAGTAATATTACCATCATCCCATTTTATAGCTGAGAAAACTGACTCTTAAGGATGTAAGTGATTTGTTCAGAATCTATAAATTTAAATTCCCAAAGAGAGAAAATAAATTTTGAATTCTAATAATTAGACTTAATTATATCTGATATTTAAGAATAAAAAATTAATTGCGCTTTTTAAACCCCATTTATTTCTCATCTGTTACTGGGAGAGAGGCAGGCAGCAGTTAAGAAAACATAGTTAATATTTCTGAACAGTGCAGTATTTTCCACTCTTCTTAGAATTATGACTGTTGTTTGAAGGTCAGTTAATTGCCTTTTTTCCTTTCCCTTTGGACTTTATAGTAATTGACTTTATGGTACATTGAATTTTGAGAAAATGCTTAAAGTGTGGGATTTTTATTCTTGGTGTCAGTTTTTTTCTCTTAGGATTCATTCATTCATTTGTTCTTAGAACAAAAATTTATTGTATGCCAGGAACTGACCTAGATCCCAAATCCTTTGCAGTCACATTTATTTTGTAAATAACATTGTTACTTTGTGATTCATGTCCAGCTGTGTCTGTCCTCTTAGGTGGGGTGACTGCTCTCTGTTGGGACCCAGTCCAGCGAATGCTCTTCTCAGGCAGTTCAGATCACTCTGTCATCATGTGGGACATTGGTGGGAGAAAAGGAACAGCCATCGAGCTCCAAGGACACAAGTAAGGCTGCTGGTGCTTTTGTAAAGAATTCTTGGGAAGGAGTCCCAGCTGAAGGCTAGAGCAGAGGCTAACAGAGGAAAGGGAAGGAAGGTGGCAGGACGCAAATACTGGCCTTTGATTTATAGCTGGGCATAAGTGTGTTTACTTATTCATAACCCATCTTATTCCACGAGGGATTTGAGAATGTTTACAAAAACCATACAGTAAAACAATGGCAGCAAATTAATAAAAGGTAAGAATTAGAACCAGGGAGAATACAAGGGTAAAAATTTAGGACTGAGAGAAAAAAAGAGCTTAAAAATATAGGCCACGAAGGCCTACAGAACTTCTACAATTGAGTTTAAATGTGGCTTCCAGCTTCCTGGCAGCTTAAGGAAAATGGGAGAGGTAATATCCTTACACAGTACATTTTGTAATTCAACAAATATTTACTGAGTTCCTGCCTTGATCCGTATCAGGCTCTTCTTCCTTAAGGGATGGATTTTAGAGGGCTGAGAGCGAGAGCAGAGGAAGCCTCAAGTTTCCTTGGAGTGGTTCTCAGACTTCGTGGCACACAAAGAATCACCAAGGAATTTAAGTCGATTCCTGGGCCCCATCCTCTCGTTGCCGGGCGGGCGCTGCATGGATCTGTGTGGTAATGAGCATCCTGGGCCAAGCACACTCTGGAGACATGTGCCTGACAGCGTGTTGCCCACAGTCCCTGAACAGAGCCTGCCCTGTCTGCAGAAAAGACATTAGGATCTTCTTCGGAAGTCTAAAATTAATCTGAGTTATGTTTACCTTACACAGGTCTCAAAATGATACTCACATGACCCTTGTCAGCCACAGACAGACATCAGCAATGCCCTCACAAACTGAGTGCTTTTCAGCAGCATTAGACTTCCTGTCACTCTGCCTGGAAGCATTCGTTACAAAATATTCTCCTGAGTAGTTTAATCTACAGGTTTGGATTATTGGCTATGAACTAACTAAATTTTGGAGGGCCCAGACACAAATAATTATTTCCGCTTTGGAGTTTGGGTTTACAGGAGTAGCTATTAAGCCCCAGTTGTCTGGGGCCACTCCTGGCTTGTGACAGTCAGACCTTGTCATCAGCCCATTAGAGGAATTGTCCCCTGTGTTCTCCATGATGAGGGGAGACACATCCAGAGTGTGTAGAAGGAATTCACATCACCCATGCAAACGAAGAAGAGGGGCCAGACCATGGTACTGTTTCATAACACCCTGTTCTTATCTAATCTGCCAGGCGATTCCTGCCAACTCTAACTCTCAGAGCAATAAAATGCAGGTTTTGAATAAAGATCAGCAGTATTTGTCGGACTCATTCAGTTTAATTCATAACTAGTTTTATGTTTACATAGTGGTTAATGAAGACTGCAGGCGACCTTGCATAATTTCATGAGATTCCTCCACAAGACAGTAGACTGTTACAGTGACCAATGTCAGCATCACTGTGCACAAAGTGCCCTGGACCCTCATGGAAAATGTTGTCCTGGAAAACCTACATCTGCAGTTTCATAAGGAAGGAACCCCTGTGACATTTAGATACAATCTCTCAGTCCCGGAAGGAGAAAACATAAACAAATAGGTTTTCCAGTTTCTAAGAATGCAGAGTTGTCCTTTTAGAAAATGGAATACACCATACCTGGAGTTCTTCTGGTAGAGTCACACCTATTCAGAACCTATTTAGGTAGGCAGGCAGGCTGGGGAGATAAGGAGCCACCAGTCAGAACTGGCCTTAAATAGTCAGAATGGCAGAAGGCCTTGGCCTGGGACTTTATTTAAGTCAAGCTTCGTAATCAACTCTAGGTCTTAGCCTGAGGGTGTTGCCCTGGTATCACAGGTTTACAGGAAGTAAATTTCTCAGCATCAACTGCTGTCGCTCTGTTAGAGTGGGTTTGAACATCAGGGCTGGGGATGGAGGAGCCACTGGAGCTGCGGAAAGTGGTAGAATGGGACTCTGAGAGAAAGGAAGGAAGGGGCAGGGAAGGAGAAGTCCTAGGAGCCCTCTCACAGCAGCCTTGAAAGCCGGCTGCTGGACTGGGGCCCCGTGATTCTCGTATTTGATTAGTGCTTAGTATTTTGTCAAAGATCTTTCAAAACACACAGATACCTCAGTTTAAAGTTACAATGACCCTATGAAAGAGAGAGGCCAGACATCATTTTTCAGATGAGAACATTGAGGTACCATCCTCAAAGACCCCAGCTGTAACTTATATCTCCCAAACCTTAGTCCAGTCCAACAGAGAGCAGCACAGTACCTTCTGTGTATCTAGGCACTACACGAGGCACTGGGGATAGAAAAATGGACACTGACTAACACACGGCCCTCACTATACCCGTAACACTTCCTGTTTGTTTTCTGCTTCAGGGGCCAAAGAGTCTCTTCTTGGGGCCCACGGTTGCCCCTTGTCCTCCTCCAGTTCCCAATTTCCCCCATTGCCTGCCTCTCCCAGGATGACTAATGCTGGTCAGAGTCCCAAATCAGGAACCATGGTTGGTAAGCTTAGGAGCTGGAGAAGGCAGGCGGGGCCGAGTGGGGAGACTGCCCTCCCCTAGTGTGGGAGTGTCTAGCCATGGTGCTGAGGGACGGCGCCACAAGCTTCTGTTGCAGCTTCTGTGGCTTCATGTCGACCTTCAGGGGCAGAAATGTGATGTTTATGTAACTAGCTTGATTAGGTGTGCAAAAAAATTCCCACCAAAAAAGAGCAAACTTTAGCACCAGAGAAAGTAATTGATGACAGTGAAAATATATCCAAGTCCAAGGAAAAAAACTGAGAAAGTACACCTCTATACAGTATCATCTGCACTTGAAGCATTTGGATGTTTTTATTCCAAGTGGAATGTGATTGTGTGCTAACTTTGTGGGAGGAAAGGCAAAGAAGGTTCTCGTCTCAGGGACCAGTGGCGTTTATTAGCTACTAGTTGGGCAAGTATTATAGAATCATTAACCTGGGCACTTCTTGTCCAGTGCCCACTTTGTCAAATCTAGTAATAGTCCTTGGGCTTTTTAGATCCTTTTTTATTCTGATATAATGCCTATCATTTTATGGCCAACTTTCTGACTATAAGTTTTCTTTCTGATAGCTTAATTTGATGTATTTGCTTAGGCTTTCAAGACTTTCTGATAACTTAATTTAGTGATAACTTGAGTTAAAGCACAGGTAGAAATCTGTGCTGTCCTTTTGCACGGACTTTCCACCATGGCTGGAATCAGCCTCCACCAAGCCTGAGTCACAGCCATAATATTGGCCACTCATGGCTTGCATATTTGTGTCCTCTTTCCAAAATCCCAGTTCTTGGTTTCTGTCTTATTACTCTTACCAAGTATGTCGTTGTTGTTAGCTGTTGTCGAGTCACCTCCAGCATATGGTAACCACACATACACAACAGAATGAAATCCTGCCCTGTCCCACACCACCCTCATGATTGCCAGCATGTTTCAGTCCTTTGTTGCATTCTAATGTAGAGGGCTCGTCTTCCAGCACAATATCAGACAGTATTCTGTTGTGACCCATAGGGCTTGCATTGGCTAATTTTTGGAAGTAGATTGCCAGGCCTTTCTTCCTAGTCCATCTTAGTCTAGAAGCTCTGCTGAAACCTGTCCACCATGGGTGATCCTGCTGGTATTTGGCATAGCTTCCAACATCATAGCAATACAACAATATGACAAACTGACATATGGGTGATGATTACCATGTGTAAGAATTTGTTAGAAGTTTCCTCAGAGCCATTTAGTAAAGAGATAGCCTATTAATAAATAAATATACATTGAGAGAATTTGTGCTCTTCCTCCTTGTAGCAAGTAAATTGCATTTAAAGTTGTGAAAGGAAGTGGAGTCCTCTCAGCCAGCATCTGTGTTTGGGAAGGGAGGGTAAGGATCAGTATATACAAAATCTTTCTCTCCTTGTGAATCTGCAGGATTTAGGAGTATTTCTCACTGTCGTGCTAGAGACCTATTAGGGTGGAGAGGAAGAGATGCCTTTCTTATTTCTAACTATTTAAGTGAACACACACTAGGTCAAAGTATTAGAAATTAGAGTTTTTGTAGAGAATGGAAGCTTGTCAAAGAAAGCGGAGCAATACAGAGTGGTTGTTAAGCACGCGAGCCTTTGAGTCCGGTCAGGCTGTGTGAGCCAGCCCTCCTGCTGAAGACTGTGTAGCCTTTGGCAAGGCACTTCACACTGTATTCCTCGGTACCCTCATCTCTGAAGTAAAGATAATGTTGGAAAGAAAACCCCTCCCAAGGTTGTAGAAAAACAAATGATTGAATATGTGTAAAATAACCAGCACAGGAATAAGGGCCTAATAAATGACAGTGTTGTTAAAGTTATTCTTATTCATAAGAATATATAATAATTAAAAAATCAGGCTTTCAGATTTGAGTACTGTTTCTCTCTGTATCATTTCCTGTGGAGACATTGCCACATACGCCTAATCCCTTTGTCCATCATTTATTCAGCAAATGAGTACAGAGCTCCATCTGCACACCAGGCCTTGTATCAGGCTCTTAGGGCACACAGTTGGGTAAGAAACATAGTTCCTGCCCTTATGGAGCTGCGCTAGAAGTATGAAGATAAGTAACCAGAAAACCCATTGCCGCTGAGTCTCTTCCGACTCATAGCGACTGTCATGGATTGAATTGTGTCCCCCAAAAATATCTGTCAACTTGGCTGGGTCATGATTCCCAGTATTGTATGATTATGTACCATTTTGTAAATCTGATGATTTCCTTATGTGTTGTAAATGCTATCACTATGATGAGGTTATACTGATGAGGTTTACAAGATTAGATAGTGTCTTAATCCAATCTCTTTTGAGATAATAAAAGAGAGAAGCGAGCAGAGACACATGGGAACCTCATTCCACCAAGAAAGCAGTGCCAGGAGCAGAGCGCATCCTTTGGACCTGAGGTTCCTGTGCTGAGATGGTCCCAGACCAAGGGAAGACTGAGGCATCACAAGAACCTTCCAGATGAAGGGAAGATTGATGACACAGACCTTTCTCCAGAGCCGACAGAGAGAGAAAGCCTTCCTCTGGAGCTAATGCCTTGAATTTGGACTTGCAGCCTACTAGACTGTGAGACAATAAATTTCTCTTTGTTAAAAGCCATCCACTCGTGGTATTTCTGTTAGAGCAGCACTAGATGACTAAGACAGTGACCCTACAGGACAGAGTAGAACTGCCCCATGGGGTTCAGCAGCTGGTGGATTCGAACTGCTGACCTTTTGGTTAGCAGCCAAGCTCTTAAGCACTGTGCAACCAGGGCTCCATGAAAATGGGTAAAGGTGGGACAATTTGCCAGTTTTACTGGAAGGTAGAGGCTTCATTGGGAGGTGGGGATCACTCTTGATTTGGATCTTAGAAGATGAAGAGGTTCTCATAGCACACAGGATCAGGAGGTTACTCAACAGAGCGACCTGCAGGAACAAAAACATAGTGGGTTCAAGAGATTGCCAGTGGACAGAGGGCAGTGGCTCATTTCAGCTTCCACTCAAGCTAGTAAATAGCGGTGTCTCTGATGCTCCCAGACAGGGCCCTGAGTTCAAGTTCAGACTAGCTGTGGTCAGGACCCATGGGTAGGCAGAGCCCTTCCTGGTCCCTTTGGCCTGGGATGTCCCTAGGTATCAGATAGCCGGGAGACCTAACATGGGTGCATTGCTCATGAGCCTTCTCGGGTCCCTGGAGGTTGGAAGCCTTGTGAGGCGACTCTGAATACAGGAAGCGAGGTGTCTGGTAGCAGATGCATAGCTGATGAGATTTTCACAAAGTAACCTGGGGCACACCTGAACAGGGATGTGAACCCTGGACTGCCATGGACTGCCATAAGAATGAGCAAATTATCTTGGAAGAAGTACAGCCAGAATACTCCATAGAAGCGAGGATGGCAAGACTTTGTCTCACTCACTTTGCACATGTTATCAGGAGGGACCAGTCCCTGGAGAAGGACACTATGCTTAGGAAAATTGAGAGTCAATGACAAAGAGGAAGACCCTCAACCAGATGAATTGACACAGTGGCTGCAACAGTATCCTCAAACATAGCAACAACTGTGAGGATGGTGCAGGACCGGGCAGTGTTTCATTCTGTTGTACACAGGGCCGCAGTGAGTTGGAACAGACGAGACAGTACTTAACAACAACGACAACCTGGGGCATCTCATCCAAGAAAAGGAAGACGCTGCACATTTAAGGTCCCTACTGTCTGAGGATGGAGGAGGGCCTAGACTGGCATTTGGGCAGCTGTTAGTTTGGGTCTGAGAGTCTGTTTTTATAACGAGAGTAAAGGCATCTCTGCCCTTCTCCCTTAAGCAGCATCAGACGGGCCTGCTTTACAGCCTGTGCAGCCACACAGGCCCCGTGTTTAGAAGGGCTCATGCTTGGTTTACTGCTCTGTTGTTGCCATCTGGACAGTCTTAGTAATTTTTTAACAAGGAGCCAGCATTTTCATTTTGCACTGTGTTGTTGTTATTAGGTGCCATAGAGTCAGTTCCGACTCATAGCGACCCTGTGTACAACAGAGTCAAACACTGCCCGGTCCTGCACCATCCTCACAGTTGTTGCTATGTTTGAGCCCATTGTTGCAGCCACTGTGTCAGTCCATCTCTTTGAGGGTCCTCCTCTTTTTCACTGACCCTCTACTTTACCAAGCATGGTGTCCTTCTCCAGGGACTGTTCTCTCCTGATAACATGTCCAAAGATCATGAAATGCAGTCTCACCATCCTCGCTTCTAATGAGCATTCTGGCTGTACTTTTTCCAAGACAGATTTGTTCATTCTTCTGGAAGTCCATGGTATATTCAGTATTGTTCGCCAACACCATAATTAGAAGACATTAATTCTTCTTCAGTCTTCTTTATTCATTGTCCAGCTTTCACATGCATATGAGGCGGTTGAAAATATCATGGCTTCGGTCAGGCGCACCTTAGTCCTTAAAGTGACATCTTTGCTTTTTAACACTTTAAAGGGGTCTTTTGCAGCAGATTTGCCCAATGCAGTAAATGTCGTTTGATTTCTTGACTGCTGCTTCCATGGGTGTTGAGTAAAATGAAATCCTTGACAACTTCAATCTTTTCTCCATTTATCGTGATGTTCTTTATTGGTCCAGTTGTGAGGATTTTTGTTTTCTTTATGTAGAGGTATAATCCATACTGAAGGCTGTAGTCCTTGATCTTCATCAGCAAGTGCTTCAGGTCCTCTTCACTTACAGCAGGCAAGGTTGTATCATCTGCATAACACAGGCTGTTAACGAGTCTTCCTCCAATCCTGATGCCCCATTCTTCTTCATATAGTCTAGCTTCTTGGATTATTTGCTCAGCATACAGATTGAATAAGTATAGTGAAAGGATACAACCCTGACATACACTTTTCCTGACTTTAAACCACACAGTATCTCCTTGTTCTGTTGGAACAACTGCCTCTTGGTCTATGTACAGATTCCTTATGAGCACAGTTAAGTGTTCTGGAGTTCCCATCTCCTTAAAGTGGCAAGAATGAACACTTTCATTGATATAACCCAAAGGTATAGCCTCTCTGTAGCATATAAAAATAATAAGCAAGTGTATATAAACTTAATGTTATTCTTTGTAATTAAAGTTTTAGTATTCTAACTTAGAAATTTAAGATATCCCGTGATTATCCATCAGTTATCTCAACTTAATATTAGTCCATTTTAAGTTATCTAAAGATCTTAGAAATTATCTTTGTTGATACCCTACAAAACATAATTACTGATTATATAAAAAGTTTGTTAGAATAATTATTCAGTTTAGTTGAACACAGATTTATTTTATAATCTTAAACATTGTGTAGGAGTAATATGAGCTTGAGGGGAGTGGTGGTTCCATGGTAGAATTCTTGCCTTCCAGGCTCGATTCCTGGCCAGTGCACCTCATGCACATCCACCACCCTTCTGTCACTGGAGGCTTAAGTGTTGCCGTGTTGCTGAACAGGTTTCAGTGGAGCTTCCAGACTGCGATGAATTAGGAAGAAAGGCCTGGTGATCTCCATTCAAAAATCCTATGAATCACAGCAGTCTGATCTCATTGTTCATAGGGTCATCATGAGTCAGAGGCTGATCTGAGGGCAGCTAACAACAAAATAACATTAGCTTATTTGACCAGTAGTCTGTGTAAGTTTAGGAGAAATAAACCCAAGTAAAATAAAACGTGCATTTGTATTAACACTGATAAACTAAAGATATAACTTTTTTAAAACCTATTATACTAGTCTCATTTGCCAGTTATCTTAATTTTTGAATTTAGATTCTTGAAATGACCGAGTTAGCAGTTTTGTAAGAAAAATTTTAAGTCTAGCACATTTAAAGCATGAGAGGTTCCATTTCCTTATTTTCTGTGAATTTTAGGAGTATTCACTTTAGGTAAGCACTTGTTTATTTTTATCAGTCAATGGGAACAAGTTCTTTGAATTTAAGAACTGCTATAATCTAATTTATTGATACTGGTGGCGCAGTGGTTAAGAGTTCGGCTGCTAACCAAAAGGTCAGCAGTTCGAATCCACCAGCCACTCCTTGGAAACCTGATGGGGCAGTTCTACTCTGTCCTGTAGGGTCGCTATGAGTCTGAATCGACTCGACGGCAACGGGTTTTTTTAAATGGGAAATAGGGAAGCATTTCATACACAACTAGAGGTACAGGCCTTTGTGAATCACAGAAAGACACACAGAGTTAATAGCTCCAGTTTGACACATTCAGCCACAGGCCGAGAGTAGGCAGAGACACACAAAATCACCAGTCCAGTTATCAAAGAACTGCTCTCCTTCCCAGGAGGTACCAGACTCTTAATTGATTTGAGCTCAAAACAGCAAATATACAAACACAAAAGACCAAGAAATCACATTCTCCGTTCCGCTCACCCGACAGAGAATAGATCTCTGTTAACCCTTGTTGGAAATCACCAAATTATCAGCCGATGGCACCAAATTCCCCGTCAGTGCTGCCATCAAGGGAGTAACTTGTCAGCACGAACTAGAAGTAAAACTAAAACACAAAATCAGTAGAGACAATAAAAGCTAGAGAGCGTCTGTTGCCGCTTTGGATTTGCTCTGGGAACCAGGAGAAGACACGCCTGGCCTGACCTAACCCATTCGTGGGGGCACTTCTTCGGAATGCAGCTTACCTGGCTCTGTCGGGTAGATCCATGGGCATCTTGAAGGACAAAACTTTCAAAGGATTAAAAAACAAAAAAAAGACGAAATCATGATTATTGAACAAATGTAAAATGAACCTGTGTCAAAGATTTTAAGTAAGTAATGAAGGAACAACAATCAACTTTATTCCTTTAAGTGTTAGTAACTGACAAAGACTGCTTCTTCCTGGCACCTCAGTATCTTAAAGAAGTGTTTTGACTCATCTGAAATCTCCGGTACTCGCCTGACCATTAACCAACTAACCAGTTGCTGTCTAGTCAATTCTGACTCATGGCAACCCCATGTGTGCAGAATAGCTCCGTAGGGTTTTCATAACTGTGACTTGGAAGCAGGTTGCCAGAACCTTCTTCCAAGGCAGCTCAGTGTGTTTGAACAGCAACATTTTGGTTAGTTGCCCAGCGTTTAACCGTTTGTGCCATCCAGGTACTCCACTTGTCCTTTAGCATATTGAAAATTAAGTCAGATGTCTTGAATTTACACTTGGGGGCTGTGAGTCAGTGTGTGGTAGTTGACTTTGCTAGGGTTTCTGCCATCAGGCCTTTCATTTGCTGTCCTGAAGTGTTGCTCCCCTTGGTTCCTTTCACAGTGACAAAGTCCAGGCCCTCTCCTATGCGCAGCACACGCGGCAGCTCATCTCCTGTGGCGGTGATGGTGGGATTGTCGTCTGGAACATGGACGTCAAGAGGCAGGAGGTAGGGGCCACAGAGGCTGGGGGATTGTCTCCTTCACGGCAGCAGAGCTGGTCTCTACGTTTGGGCAGTGCTGAAAAACGGCTCAGCTTCCCTCTCGCTGCGTTGTTTCTTCTTTTATGATTAAACCATGACATGTTATGTCAGAATAAAAGATGGTATAAAAAGTTTCCATTTTTTTTTGCCCCTCACAAGTTGGCATGTGACATTAATATAATGGAGATTTCATAAGAATTTTGACTGAAACTAAGCTGTTTAGACTTTAAATAAGTTATAGCATTTGCTACAAAAGTCCAGGTGAGAAAAAGGAACCATCTATTTTCAGGCAGTTAGCCCTTCAGTACCAAACACCCTATGAAAACAGGAAATTCATGTGCTTTATTTTATTGAGGGAAATGGTGGCGAGGGTGTGAGGAATGTTATTTAATGAAGTAATCCTTAGTTTGGTATCCATAGAAATAAGTATTTTAAATAATTTAAATGTTATCATAGCATTCTTTTTTATAAAGTTTTCTTTTTAATCTTTGAGCGTCTTAACAACTGATACGTTTACTGACGTCTCTTCTGACAGGCACTTCAAAGTTAACCATTTTCCCATTTCCCTTGAATTGTTTTGGGTAGACTTTCCCTTTGACAGTATATATTCCTCTAATTTATTTCTTTGCAGGATGCAAGAACTAGATAGAAAAGCAACACTTAAAATTAGACGAAAGCGATTTCCCAACTTCTTTCCACGCCCCCACCCTAATCTCATTTCTCGAGAGTAGTTGCTATTACTCACAACGTAATGCCTTTCAAATATCAGTAATGAAATGCTTAAGAAGGTTAAAGCTTTATTTGCTCAAAGCATAAATCCATGGGCGTTCTATTAGTAACGAATTAAAATGATCATCACTGTTACGAAGTGGGGAAATGTAGAATATTGTTTTTGAAAAGTACTGCTTGGCGCCACTTGGCAGGGACATAGTTATAATGTGGCTAGCTGTGCCAGCCAGGCTCTCGGTGCTGACCAGTGACTGTCCTGGCTGGGGTCTGCACAGTAGCCTGCTTTGGGTTAGGGGCAGTCACACCTGTTATGTCCTGGCTTCTTTCCAGGCCCAACTGACCAGCCAGGGGAGGAGGGGATGGCTGGATTCTTTTCCCTCATTGCAAGGACTGACCCCAAAGAAGGACACGTGTGTGTCTCCAGAAATGAGACTAGGTGGTTGTTGGGGAGCCCTTCCAGCCATCTTGTTTAAATTCCACCTCTTGATAGGCAGATATATGGGCACTAAGTGCTTGTTGACTGATTTTAAATCTTCTTGTTGAGTGACTCAGAGCTTTAAATATGTAGCAGCAAAGGTTCTGTCCATTTTTCACAAGTGTCTTTTATTATATAAACATTTATCTGAGAGGTTTTTTTTTTTTTGGTACATCGGTATCTGGAGCTACTTCATAGTTATGGCAAATGCCTGCAGTGCTCTCTGTGGGAGGTCTGAGGTGTATGTGAAGCAGTCCTTGCTCAGAAGTGCTGACAGACTTTCTGAAAGAAAAGATGTGTGGGAGAAAACTTTGGAATACGACCAGATGATATAAACTATTAAATCAGTTATAGTCACTCTGTAGAGCATTAGTGCTTTGTATTTAGGAAGGGGCACAACCATTGTTGGCTGAAGTTCTCCACGAAGGGTTTGTGGAGGAACATGGTGCTGAAAGGAGGGCCTGCACATGCTCTGACCAGGAGCATCCTGGGCTTTGCAGGCAAAGGAGCGATGGGAGTGAAGATACAGTGAACACGGACAGATGGCGGAGCAGTACTTAGTGCTCACTGAGCAGTTGGAGATCGTAGGCTGGTGCACAGGGCACGGGGCACGTGATGGGAGACCTTGAGCGGCTGAACGAGGGTCCAACACCCCCTACCTTAATCATTTGTTTATATGGTTAATAAAATCCACTTTCTCAAAGATTTATCATTTTTTTAAATTATAAAAATGTTCTTTGTAGAAAAGCTCCAAAATGCTCATAAACACATAGAAAATATGTTAATTACTCACAATACCACCACCCAGAAATATCACTCTTCACCTGTTGGCAAACATCCTTCCATACATTTTTCTTTCCCATACACGTGTATAAAGTTTTTTTTTTAAATGGAATCATACTACAAATGGCTGATTTATTTTTCCACCTTCCCTGGTCCTTACTCCCATTTCCCTCCTCACACCCATTAAAAAAACCAAACCCATTGCTGTTAAGTTGATTCTGACTAATGGCGACCCTATAGGACAGGGTTTCCAAGGAGTGGCTGGTGGATTTGAACTACCGACAGTTTGGTTAGCAGCGGAGCTCTTAACCACTGGGCCACCAGGACTCCTTCCTCATAGACACCCCTAAACATGCATGCTTCACTGTAGAAGATGTAGAGGGTGTGTGTGTTAAATTTTACCTAAAAGATGTAGTGCTACACATCTCATTCTGTTTACAGCTTTTCCTATGAAACCCTGTTTGAGCTCTACCCATCGTACCGTGTGCACCTCGAGTTGCTTCTTACTTCCGCTTAGGATCCCTTAGTATGTAGCAGTCATATTTGACTTCTCTGTTTCCCAAGCAAAAGGCACCTAGATTGCCACCAATTCCCTGGTACCATAGAGAATGCCCAGATGAGCTTCTTGTACGTGTTCCCTCACAAACCTGCATGAGAATTTCCCAGGGCTGTACACCCAAGGGTAGGATCAGTTGAAGGTGCATTCTTGATTTTGCTAAACTCAGCCTGTCTTAGTTATCTAGTGCTGCTATAACAGAAATACCACAAGTGGATGGTTTTAATAAACAGAAATTATTTTCTCACAGTTTAGGAGGCTAGAAGCCTAAATTCAGAACACTATCTCTAGGGAAAGGCTTTCTTTCTCTGTCGGGTTGGGGGGAAGGTCCTTGTCTCTGCAGCTTCTGCTGCCTGGTTGCTTAGAGACCTCCATGTGGCTTGACATCTGTCTTACCCCATCTCTTCTTGCTAGCTGGCTTTTAATCTCTTTTGTATCTCAAAAGGGGGAGCCCTGGTGGCACAGTAGTTAAGAGCTTGGCTGCCAACCAAAAGGTCAGCAGTTCGAACCCACCAGCCGCTTCTTGGAAACCCTATGGGGCAGTTCTACTCTGTCCTGTAGGGTCGCTATGAGTTGGAATCTACTCAACAGCAACGGGTAATATCTTGAAAGAGATTGACTCAAGATACAACCTACACTAATCTTGTCTCATTAATGTAACAAAGACAACTCATTCCCAAATGGGATTATAACCACAGGCATAGAGATTAGTATTTACAACACATATTTTGGGAGGACATAATTCAATCCATAACACAACCAAATTGCTTTCTGGATTGGCTGTACCTGTTTATACTTCTAATGGAGGACAGAGAGTTTCCTGACACCCCACATCCTCATCGACATTTATTATTACCCGCTTTCTGGTGTTGCCCTTCGGGAGGCAGGTAAAATACCACCTTGTTTTTATTTATATTCTCTGGTTAACAGTGAATCTGAGCCTCTTTTCATATACTTCAGCCATTCAGGCTTCCCTGTTTGTGAATTCCATGTTCATATCTTTTGTATGTTTTGCCCATTTTTCAACTAGCTCTTTTCATTTTCTTACTGATTTGCAGGAGTTCCTTGTGATATCCTAGATATTACACCCTTGCCACTTAAAAACTTTGCAAACATCTTCTCCTACTCTGTTAACTTTGTGCTGTGCAAACTAACCTGGGATGTTTTTGTTTTTTTTTTTTTTTTTCAGTTTATTGACTATTGAATATTTTCTGTGTCAGTAAATATGTATTTCTGTTACATCATTTTAATAGTAACAAACTGATATTTGAAAGATTATTCCATAAACAAACACTAATACCGTCCCCTTGTTCTCTAAAGAGAATATTAATATGTTTTGTATTATGTGAAATGCTTAGGTGGGTTAATTCCATTTTTTCAGGCCACCAGAAATTCTTAACTAACCCCATCTGGTTACAAACTGTAAGCACACTTGATTTATTTCTGGAAAAAATGGATTCCTGAAGGTTTTTTGTTTTTAATCTCTCTGATTTTCTTGCATCGTAAGTGTTCTGAAGAATCACAGCATAGATAAGTGAAGTCTTCTAGGAGTAAAATGTTATCTTTAGCTAAAAACTTTGTATTGTTTTATTATATTTGTCTTTAAAGTGATTAGGGCATGAAAATTACAAACTAAATTAAGGCTTACTTCTTTTCTTTGATTTCAGTAAGATAAATAGACCAAGACTAGAACTCTTAAAAAGTTACCTTTTCAGTTTTCTTTCCAATAAAATGTATAGTTTTAGCGTCAATCCTCCTGAATGTAGAATAGGTTAAATCAGTGTTTCCCAAAGTCTGTTCCATAGCATTTGATCCTCAGAAAGGGACTACTGTCACAGGCTCTCCAGAGCCTTCAGTGTGAACGTCCAAGGAGGCTGTTGTTGACAGCATTCCTCAAACTTGTTTGGTCACAGACTTCTTGCACATTAGGCATCCTGTGAATTCACTTTTGGGCTCCCCTACCAAATGAGGAATTCTACAGAGTTAAACGTGTGTGGAAGTGAATATCGAGTCACTGTGTATAATCTATGAAGATTTGCCAAAGAATAGCTTAAAATTAAATTTTTTAAACCTGTTTGGCATGCTTTAGAATACTCATGGTTGGGCCAGCAAAGAGTGAACAAAGCAAAAATATATGACCCATGAGGCAAGGAGCAGAGCCTCAAACTCTGATGGGTCCTGCTAGGAGTGGACAGTGGGGCAGTAGCTTCCCTGAGTAGCCACTGTAGTCACGTCATATCTCTCTAACACAGTAGCTGTGTGTAGGCTTAATGTGCAGTTATATATATTGTTGTTAGGTGCTGTTGAGTCTATTTCGACTCATAGTGACCCCATGTGCCCCACAGGGCTTTCTAGGCTGTAATGTTTATGGGAGCAGATCACCAGGTCTTTCTCCTGTAGAGCTGCTGGACAGGTTCAAACCACCAACCTTTCGGTGAGCAGCCAAATGCTTAATCGTTGTGCCACTGAGGCTCCTATGCAGTTATATATGACTGTACATAATCAAAGCAAATATAATTGCATATGATTAGAGAGTGTGAGATAAAGACCTAGATCCTCAACAAGGCTGTCAACACCCTGTGCGATTGACCACTGCCTTCCCCCCCCACAGCCTGGTCCCTTTCTCCCCTTCTCTGCAGTCCAGCCCTCTTGGCCTGGCCTACTCCCACCCATCCTTCAGATCTCCGCTGTGTTATCACTTGTCAGGGATCCGAGCCACCTGTTACTGCACTCTTACAGTACTCTGTACTTCTCAGCCTTCGCACATCACTCTTATTTAAATAGTTACTGTTCATAAAATTTTTATGTTTGGTCTTTCCTGATAAATTAGAAGCCCCATTGATGGATGGGTCTTTATTCACCAGTACATCCCCAGAGCCTGGTACATAGCAGATACTCAGTAAATATTTCTTGAATGGTTGACTAGTAAATCACACTTGTGTTTTTTATAAACACATCATCAGTGTAGTGGTTCCATTGTCCTCACTGCTCCTCACTATGACCTGCTGTGTGCTTTATTTGACCAGACCCCTGAGTGGTTGGACAGTGACTCCTGTCAAAAATGTGATCAGCCTTTCTTCTGGAACTTCAAGCAGATGTGGGACAGTAAGAAAATCGGCCTCAGACAGGTTGGTGATATGGAATCGGCATCAAAGTGCATTGTAATAGTGTGGAAATAACTTGCCCTTATGATCTTAGGAGAAATAGCACCCCTGGACAGCAGTTGTGGTGGGGTAAATTCACTCCCTTTGTCTTTTATAGCTCATTCTTCATGGATTCAGTTTGGGAAACTGCAGTGACTTGTTTCCAGTAAGCATGAAGGGATGTGATTTTAGAATTCTAGTGGCATCTACTAAAATATGCCTTGAAATTTGAGTAGTCATGCTTAGCTCATATTAGTACCAAACCATGAAATTATATAAGTGATATTTATTTTTCCTTAATTATTTCACTTTGCCTCCTCCTGTCTTAGTTTTAGTTATTTAGATTTACTTTTAATACAGCATTTTCAATCAGATTCCATGGTTTGTTTTGGTTTTCCTCAAGAAACTCAAATGTTAGGTCACCTAGGTTGAGTATTGCCCAAGTGTAGACAATAGATTGAATCCGGTTTCATCCAGCAGCTTAGTCTTTGGAGACAGCAACTCCTTGGTACACCAGCTTTAAGATAGCCTGAGAGCTGGATGGTTCCTCTGTAGTTCACAGTGGTGATAGTTAGGTGGTGGTTCCTCTATAGTTCATGGAGGTGACAGCTGGATGGTTCCTCTGTAGTTCACAGTGGTGATAGTTGGGTGGTTCCTCTACAGTACATAGAGGTGACAGCTGGATGGTTCCTCTATAGTTCATGGAGGTGATAGTTGGGTGTTTCCTCTATAGTTCATAGCAGTGATAGTTGGGTAGTTCCTCTATAGTTCATAGAGGTGACAGTTGGGTGGTTCCTTTGAGTTCACAGAGGTGACATTTGGGTGGTTCCTCTGAGTTCATAGAGGTGATAGTTGGGTGGTTCCTCTATAGTTCATGGCGGTGATAGTTGGGTGGTTCCTCTATAGTTTATAGTGCTGATTGTTGGGTAATCCTCTATAGTTCATAGCAGTGACAGTTGGGTGGTCCTCTGTAGTTCATAGTGGTAACAGTTGGATAGTTCCTCTATAGTTCATAGCAGTGATAGTTGGGTGGTTCCTTTGTAGTTCACAGTGGTTACAGCTGGATGGTTCCTGTATAGTTCACAGTGGTGACAGTTTGGTGGTTCCTCTATAGTTCATAGCGGTGACAGTTGGATTCTTCCTCTATAGTTCATAGCAGTGATAGTTGGGTGGTTCGTTGTAGTTCATAGCGGTGGCAGTTGGGTGGTTCTTCTATAGTTCATAGCAGTGATAGTTGGATGATTCCTCTGTAGTTCACAGCAGTGATAGGTGGAAAGCACTGAGAATGGAGAAAGGAGGTGGAATAGGAGGGTGACACAGTCAGGTTTATTTCCCAAAAGTCCTCATTCTGAATAAACAGAGTACAAAAGAGAGCACACACCCAGTGTTTTCCTTTTAATCTTCTGGGCCACTCTTGTTTAGCATCCTCACGTAAATGCTGTTGATCACACCTGAGTCTACCTGGAGAGAGGGTGAGGCGCGGGAGCCACAGCGAATATCTGTCTTCTCTTCTTCCTCCAGCACCATTGTCGTAAGTGCGGGAAGGCCGTTTGCGGCAAATGCAGTTCCAAGCGCTCCTCCATCCCCTTGATGGGCTTCGAGTTTGAAGTGAGGGTCTGTGACAGCTGCCACGAGGCCATCACAGATGAAGAGTAAGTGTCCATGGTTTGTAGAATTCTCCAGGCTAAGGAGAGCTCTGATCTGAGAGCTGCACTCCACGCTGCAGCTATGACTAATACGGTTATATTGGCGTAGTGCTCGCTGGTTTAGAATATGGACCATGCAATGGTAAAAAGCCTTCCTTTTCCACCAAAGGATTTGTGCTATCTTGTGAGATGGGAGAAGAGAATATGCTCAAAGCGTTCACCTCTGTGTGCTCTTCAATCCCAGCGGTAAAAGCACAGGCTATGTGCATTTAAAATACTTTTAAAATATTAAAAATAAATAAGTAAATAAAAATAGATGCTCTTGGACCAAACTCTTTTGTCTGCCCATTTACTTGAGAATTGCCAAAGAAAGCAGGGGCCCCTGGCTCACTTTCTAGCCCACCCTCGTGTCTTTCAGGAGTTAAATCATCCAGCAGGCTGCAGGTTTCATCTCCCAGGAAGAGCTAAGCTACTTTACCTGAGAGGCAATACAGTGGCCCAGCTGCTCAGAGGGCTGCTTGTCAGTCGTACCCAGTAACCTTGGCCTTAGGTTATTGTACCTCAGTGTGTGTTAGAGAGTGGGCAAATCTATGTTGTCTTTCTAATATTGGCTCATTGAAAAGTACCCCCAGATGGAAGCGGAATGTTCTAGAACAAGTTTCTCTTTTAATGAATTACAGCAAGGTCTTATAGGAAACTTTTCTTCTTCCTAATCCTCCAACTCCCACCCAATCCCACCCTTTGTATATAAGAAAACATTTTAAGTAATAGATGGGTGTCTTAAAAGCTGCATGTAAGTAGAAACATATTTAAAATGTACCAGAGGAGGTCAGTGATTAAAGGAAATTCTTAGCAAATTAATAAAACAAAAGAATTCTCTCATAGTACAAATGGCTCTAATTTATATATTTTCATTCTTATTCATACCAAATATAAATTGAGATCCTCTTACAAGAAGTAAGCATTTATGTTCATTTGATTATTTTCCACTCATTATATATGATAAAATTAATAAGAACATTCTTCTCTCATTGAATTAGAGAGCTGGAGGAGGCGTTAAAGATATTCTAGTTTACTTCTTCCTTTTATAGGTAAAGACAGACCCAGAGAGTCTAGGTGACTTGCAAAGTAAGTCTAAATCTTTAATTCTAAAAATTTTGAAGTGATCATATTTAGTATACTGGAGATCTGTCCTACAGATTTTAGCCCTAGAATAAAAAAGACAATAGCTGTCTTCAGAGAGCCTACTGTAGAGGAATAGGAACCCGAAAACATGATTAGAAAACAGCTGTCCTTTTTCTAATCTGTCCCCCTTTCACTGTTTCTTCTGCCTCTTCTCTGTGGAAGCATTTGCCTTGTCTCTAGAGCAATTGCCCCTAGAGCACCTAGGCAGCTGGAGAGCCTTAGTGCTGAAAACTGCAGAGATTAAACAGTAGTGTTTGTTTATATTTTTACTTGTTAAAGCTTTAGTATACTGCAGAAAAACTGAGTCTGCAGTTATACCAGTGAAAAGAGGAGAAAGAACGGATGGCCCTTTGGTTAGAATGACAGTTCTTTTGTCTTTGGCATTTTAGCAAGAATGCTTTTTTTTAAGCTATATAGGCAAAGGTAGAATATTTTACTGGCAAGTCCTTCTGGGATCAAACTTAGCAAAAGCACTGTTGTTGTTAAGGCTTGTCAAAAGCACAGGTAGAGATTGTATCTCTGGAACTTCACAGACTCCAATAGAGCAACTAATTCTCCAGAAGGACTTGTGGAAATTTCTCCCATTTTGGAGAATATAAGAATCCTTCTACCTTTTTTTTTTTTTAAACCCATAACAGTTCTCCAAGGAGTAAGGGTAGATCTGATGAGCTTTTCAGTTATGTGATTTTAACCATTTGGCTAAAAATTAGAGCTTAATGTCCCCTAGATCTGCTTCATTCCTATGACACTACCTTTTACCCTCTGAAACTTTCTCTTCTGCCCTGCTCCTCCCAGACGTGCGCCCACGGCGACCTTCCACGACAGTAAACATAACATCGTGCATGTACATTTTGATGCAACCAGAGGGTGGTTGCTGACTTCCGGGACTGACAAGGTTATTAAGGTAGGATGCCATCTTATTTTTGAAGTTTTCCATCTTTATCCTTACGTAAAAACACAGGAGCGCCAAGAATATGTGAGGTACTGTTCAAAAGGTTATCTTCGGCAGTGAGCATTTTTGAGAGGAGCCCATTAGATGCAAGGCCCAAGCCAGGCCTGGCTCTAAGAGTTCAGTAAAGGGTGATGGTACTGCTGGAGAAGGCTTCGTGAAGGAGGTAGGGTTTGAGCTGAACATTGAATGAAAGATGGGGCTTGAATAAGCCAATAGATAATAAACAAGATCTTCTCCCAGTGAGATCAATTAATCCAAAAGCACTAATCCCAGGCCTCTCTGAGGAGGGTGGTAGACCACATGGATCAGTGTCATAGCAGAGGCCCCGGACAGAAGGGGCCACCCCTGCATCACCTCCTGAGACACAGAGGCATGCCCGCCTAGTGCACTGAGCCCACTTCTGGCCTGTTTGGGTCCTGTTCTTGGAGGCAGCAACAGGATGAGGTAGTTAAAATAACACCCTTTGGAAGCAACCAGACCTCTGTGACTTTGAGCAACTTTAAAGTAAACTCTGGGAGCCTGGGTTCCTTTGTTCGTAAAATGAGACATCTTGTCAAAGCGTTCTGAAGATTAAATGAGATCAGATGTGGAAAGGACACAACATGTGCCTGGAACCCATTTGGTGCCCAATATGTGTTGGTTCCCGTCCCCCTGAAATGACTGTGTGCCTTCGTTCTCCATCGTTGTTGTTGTTAGCTGCCGTCCAGTCAGCCCCAACTGCCCCAACTCATGGTGACCCCATGCACAGTGGGACGAAACGCTGCCCAGTCCTGCGCCATCCCCATGATGGTTGCAGATCAGACCTTTGTGATCCATAGGGTTTTCATTGACTGATTTGCAGCAGTAGGTTTATTAGCTGGATTGAAATTTCTAGTTGCCATTGTCATGTTTTTGAGCTTTATTGAACTTTTTGATGTAAAAATATTTTAATATATAGATTTAGAATTCATATTAGTACAGTATCTAGTTGATATTTAATTTTAAAAAGTTTACTTGAAGAATTCAAACAGTTGAGTACTGTTTATCCTCAACACAATTTAGTTTTTAATTGATCACGTATCTCCCTTTTCTTTTTACAGTTGTGGGATATGACCCCAGTAGTGTCTTGATGATACCTCCTGGAATCAGAAAGAGAGAATTCACTAAAGAAATGGTTGTTCTAATCCCAGTCATTGCTGAAGATGTAAAGGAAAGCAGATGTGTAAGGAGAGAGAGAGAAACCACAGAATCTAGATGAGTTTGCGTATGTAAACTGATGTACAGTGGTGAGCTAATGATTGAACACTTGCAAAGGGACTCTTTCAACTTTGTTGTTCATACGGTATCACATAAGGTATTTTTTTAACAAATGGTTTATACAGTTTGGCTGTGCTATATTGTTTTGAGTATAATGAAAAATCTGGGATGTTTAATTTTTGTATTTTTCAAGACTTCATTTTATTTGTTGCTTTGTGTGTCAGAGAAATGAGGGTGGTATCTGTTCAGGGTATTTTTGGTTATTATAAAGTCATTCTCATGTTTTCTTCACTCTGGCATGTATCATGTGGTCAGCATCTTTTTCTTCTCGTCTCTCTGCGTTTACTCTAACCATCATCTGCCAGTTACCACAGTATCTGTATTTCACTGTTTACTTGCAACGTCTCTGCTTTCATATCCTCTTCAGTGGAGAGATTTGGAAAGCCATTTGTGTGGATTTACCAACTGACTTGAAGAACGGTCTGTTTGTAATGCCTGACTCCTCCGTGTTGTTACCGAGTAGAGATGACCCTGCATTCCCGTCTCAGTGTTAACTCTGTCTTCCCCACACTGGAAATACTGTGTGAAAGCTGCTCCCCGTCATCATCACCACAGAAAGTAGATGGTTACAACTCAGCTTCAACCCTCAGTGTCTGGATCATTTAGACCTCAGTTGGAGCCTCCTGGGCCTTTTATATCTTAGTTTTACTTGGCACAGCTCTTCTCACTCATAATATTTAAAACAAACAAAAACACCCTACATGCTTCATGAACCAGTATCTTTAAGATGTGCTTCTCCATGTGACATCACCTCTGAGCTTGAACATGTTCATTCCTGCGAGATTGTAGTCCTGCTCTATCCCTCGCCATCTGTATTTTCTTTCCCTTTAAAAACTATAGTAATTTAAACTTTTTTATCTTAATGTATTTTATCAGAACACTTTGCACACTTTCATACTAAAACTGTACATGATCTGCAACATAAAGGTACTGCATCCTACACTCAGCCTGTGTCCTGTTGAGAATGTGAAAGAGGCTTCAGAAAAGGAACCTGAAGAACTATTTCTGACGGAATCCAATCAAGCTTGATAAAGTGGGATATTCCTGTTGTAGTCACTCAACTCAGGATTTTGAAGTCCTTATTTTAAAAAAACTTTATTTTCACCTGTGAAAATAACATGAAACAACAGCTACAAACACGGACCATGTGCCTACCCCTTCTAAGCACTTTACAGGCACCACCTCACCCAGTCCTCACTGTCGGGAGCAGCGGGAGGACCACCAGGCTAAACAAAGCTGTGCAGATCAACAGGCCAATTACTTGCCCCGCCCCACCCAAGCCCTGCCTCCACAGTGTCTCCTTCACTTCTGATTTGACGTTCTGCTAGTAGTATTGGAGTGAAATTGAAACCCTCCCTATTTTTCCTCCTCTTTTCCTGGAAAGCAGTTTTACCCCTTCATGATCATTAACTACCTTTCTTTCTAACCAGGGAAAGAACTACAAGCCATACTCGCATACCACAACCCCTAACACTGACAAAGCGTGCATTCTGGGGATGGGGCTTCCAAGAGGTGACTCTGCTCCACCACCATTGGGAAGCAGGGCCAGTGTGCCTGTTGTGGCAGCCACTTCACATGATGGTCACCGCCGAGAATCAGACCATGTGGTGTGCACGTGCACACACACACAAGCAGTTACCACGTACCCCCTCACTGCCCCTTCAGCACTACCCTTGCTTGCCATCAGTCAAAGCTGTTACAATAACTCCTTTGAGTCTTTTCTGTATGATTTCTCTGGAGAGAGCTTTAGAAAGGGAATTAAATTTAAAATATTCAAATATAGTTTATTTTGTAGCTTATTACTAGGACCTGCAGCCACTTACTAAGTTATACATGTTAGAGTAACTGTGCATTGGAAAGGAGTAATAGAAATGAATTCCTCTGTTTTCTGAAACTCTGGAGCCTGGCCTGTGTACAGACAGGGAAGCACAGTATTAGGGAGGCAGTAGATCAGGCCCCAGCAAGCCTTCTAGATGAGCTGAGACCTCATTGGGGAAGCTGGTCGCTCATTGGAGCCCAAGTGTACACCGTGGTCACTGTGGTCTGTGCCTTATGCTGCACTGTAGCCATGCTGTGCCCCAGCCCAGAGCCACACAGAGGTTGAAACCACTTGGAGCCTCATTGGTGATCAGAGTCTCGCTCAGACACCACAGATAACGTCAAAGTATCCATTGCCTTGCCCTTTTCTTTTTCCTCATCTGGTGTGGGTGCTTGAATTTGATGAAGAGTTTAGCAGATCTAGTATGTAGTACTTATAATACTGTGAATTCTTGAGTTTTACATTACAGTAAGTGTCTCCACCATACTTATAAGTCACAGAAATATTTGCTGGTAGTGGGTGTCTCCCGAGCGTTTTATAGACATGGAGGCTTCCCTCATGAGGAGTGGAAGCTGGCCCAGCACTTGGTGTTTCTCCTGTCTGGGTTAATTAACTGTCATAGTTCTTGTTTTGCCCTCTTGGATTTGCACTTTACATACATTTGTTCTCTGTCACTTAAACACATAGCAGCTCTGGCAAGTAATGCCTAGCGTGGCTATGTTGGAAAAGGACAGAACTGCACTTATGATACATGTAGTTGTTGTTTTCTGTTTGGCAGAACAAAACCAATCACATGCTCTTCAGTTTCTCCAAAGGAGAGACGTTAATGGAGCCTTCAGCTCCCTGGGTAAAGTCTCCACAGTAGCAAAAGTGATTTTAGATCAAGTACTTGGAATCTTGTCTCCTTTTATATGAGGTCACTCAACCATGATCAATTTTGAGAGAGTATTTTTCATTTGATTATTTGAATTATTCAGAGAATCATAAAACCACAAAATTGAAAGGGATCTTCAAAGATCTAGAATGTTCTAAGCATAAAACACTTGATTCAGTTTCAGACAGTTAGCTATTCCTGAGGTTTTTGAACATTAGCTGGTAACAGGTGAGCAGGAGGAATGAGGTCCTCCAGACCCAGGAGTGCCCCCTCAGCCTAAGTGCCTGGACACGTGGTCCCTGCGGCTGTGAGTGGGTGTGTCCTCCGCAGTGCAGCACTACTGCAGGTCTCCATCGGCACAACCCTTCCTGCACTCTTCCCTACAGGCCACTCCAGTCACAGAACTTAAGTGGAAACCTAGGGCCCTGACAACACCCTTCCGCTGTCTGTGTGAGGGCTGGCCTGGAGCGGGCCTCAGGCCTGAAGCAGCCTTAGGCCTGGAGCCTCTGCTCTTCTGCAGACCATCACCTGTTTGCCTTCTGAGCTTCACTTTGAGAAGTTATAATTTATTTTTGCTTAACATTGATCAATTTTTAAAGCCCTAATTTGGGCCTTTAAGCAAAAGGATAGCTCCAAGTTATGTATCAAAATTACTAGACATAAATATTCATCGAATGAGATTCATTTAGTTTTATCTTTCCGTAGTAGTTTAATTGTATGTAAATGACCATGTTCACTAAGATTTTACATTTTGAAGGTATTTTGCCAAAACATGATTTTTTCCCCTCCTTTAAAATAATTTTAAGTTGAATTTTTCCTGATAAGAAAGTGAATGTCTAGCAACTTGATTGTAAAACACAGAAATTAAGTCCATTTTGAGTGCTGAGTTATCTAGATGATGTTTGAAGTTCTAGGCTCTGAACTGGGCACTGGGGTTACGAGGTCTCTGAGGCTTCTTCGCTGGTCTGGGCTGAGGCCACACAGATGAGTAAATGGATGGTCTCAGTAGATGTGGCGGATGCAGTGGTGAAAGTGTGCTTGGGGCCCCACCCAGGAGCTAGACAGGGGCCCCTCAGCTGGGGGGGATTCACAGAGGGAGGGACTTCTGAGTGGAGTTAAAAGATGAGTAGGAGTCAGTCAGGTGATGATGGGGGAAAGGAAATGACTCTCAGGCTTCGGAAACAGCTTAACAAAGTCCCAAGATCTAGAATCAGCCTGCTGTGCCCAGAGAACATCACATGCCTAGTCTGCAGTCCTGGAGGCTGGTCTCTTGTTGCCATTAGACGCTGATGCTCCGTGACTGCAGAGAGAACAACATGGTCGGCTATGAGGCGCGACTCGGCTCATCACGCTCTGGTTCAGTAAGGTTTCCTGCCCAATGCTAACATCAGAGTTTCTTTTTCTTTGGAAATGCCTGGAATTGTTATCTGAAAATGCCCTATGGTAACTAATTTGGAACTTTCTGGGTGCGTAACCTTTCACTGCAGGCTGTGAGGTAGAGCTGGAGACCATTCCATGCCATAGACCTTGACTGGAAAGAACTTATGTACTAGTTACATAATTTTATAGGTGGGCCAGGCCCAGCCGCTCCACTTGATAAAAGGAAAGAGGTTGGACTGTGGCAGGAGGAGACTGTTGTAGACAGCCACACATTACACTAACTTGCAGCATCGAGTGTTTGGGTGCAGAGAAGGCAGCCGCTGCCTCCACTTCCTCCTCGGCCTTAGGTTATTCATGCAAGAATGTGGCCTTCGCAGTGGACTTCACTGAGTGGAACAAAAAGTTTTCTCTCCAATTCAATTATAGAAAAAAGGGCTCAGACCGGCTCCTGCCGGGGAGACCTGGCTCTGCAGAGGCAGGGGCAGCCCAGCTCCATGGTGGGAACTTAACAGGTTCCTCTCTTGCCATTACATCCATGTGCCTTTGGCTTCAGTGCCCGAGTATCATGTGTCCATAATTCAATAGCATTTGTGTTTGTGTTTAAACTTTAGCTCAGCTTTCCAACCAAGAACTACACACTACTCAACGCTCAAGGTTTGTAGTTGACATTTTTGCCTTTAAAAATCATTCTCCTTTCCACAGAGAAGCCTCTTTAGGTCTAATACACGAAAGCACTGACTAAAAATTAGATCTGTCCAGAATTGGCGTGGGATCCTTTGTGTTTCCCATGCCAGGGAGCTTGTGAACAGACAGTAAATGGCCCCTCGTCAGGGGAGAGTGAAGCTTTGAGTGAGGGTTGAATTAGGTGATCAATCTAATCTCATCTTAAGGTGATCAGTTAGGTCCTTCCAATCCTGGTGTTCTACAATTCCATGAGCAATGTCTGTCTTTGGACTAGCCAGAACCATTAGCCGTCTGCCATCCACGTGGCTGACTTAGATAAATGAGAGCATATCACATGCTTTGTTGTCTTCTGCCATATCAATGAATTGCTTTCTGGATTTTTCCATCTTGAGCCTAGTAAGTTTGGTTTTAGAAAAAGATGATGAAGGTGGACATAATCATGGTACCATCTCATTAAAAATAGATACCTCAGATGTTCACCTTCATGAGTCAAAGGAGTATCTGACTTTCTTGGGAGAGGACGTGTCAGGGAATTGCAGGCTGGTTTAAAGGTTAGACTTATGAGCCAATGTTGATATTTATGGTTCTTTCTCTCCCACTCCCCTCTTTTTTTCCTTGGTTCTCTGGGAAGCATGAGAGGATGAGCTCTAACTAATAAAAAGGGAAAACAGTTTGAAAAAAGTATCTTACTTCTGTACATGTTTTTATTTAAATGGATGGTAGGCTTCTGTCCGCAGCACATGCCGACACAAAGTATGGACAAGACACGGCGTGTTGCTGTTAACCACTACTCTTACATACTTTGTGTTTTATGCCATTTGCCTTCCTTTTTAAATGACTTGTTTTTCAGTGTACTATCATTTTGCAAAAGAAAATATACGAAAAGTACAAAAACTGACTAACTGGACAGCAGGGAAGGTGCTAGCCAACGCTTTAGTGCCTGCCTAACCACTTTATCCATAACCAGGGCCATGGACTTGTCCACTCGGCAAGCTGGTCAAGTCTGTAGCCCCACGTCACACTGGCTGCAATGGACATGTTCCTTTATGAATATCTTTCCCTTTCTTCTTTTGAAATGAGGAAATTCTCCAAGGGGTTGGGCTGAGAATGTCACAAGCCTGAAGTTGGAACAGATTTCTTAAATGTGGTTCTAGCTGAACTCCTGGCATTTGCCGTGCTCTCTGCCACCAGATCCCACCAGCCAGACCACCCAGACTTGACATTGACATCCTGAATGTGCTTCGGTGGTAATGAGAATTTCCTGTGTTACAGTGTCTGTATCCAGTTCTGCATTCAAATGCTGCTGAACGTTGTGTCTGCTGTGCTCACTTGCCCACTGTGCTTCTCTCAAACCAAAATGTACCTGTGGCCATGGTCAGTGTAAAAGACTCTCAATGCAAAGTTGCTTCTGCGGTTTCAAATAAATCTCTGTGGAAACCTTCCTGCAGCTGTGGTCCTATCCTTTGTTGTTGCTGAGCCACGTGCACCCCGGCCACCCTGTTCTGGGGTTCAC